AATTCCGAGGCAGCCTTTCCCCAGCGCCAGGCGCTGGAAGCGGAATCCTCGGGGTATCCCGCTGGTCGGTCTTTTCCCCTTCTCCCTTCCTTCCGGCTTCTGAAGGAACGAGGGGAGATCCTTCGCCCCTCTGGTGCCCCTTCTCCAAGCTGACGCTGATGGACGTTATGACCGAAATCTGTTGGGCTATAACCCGATCCCAGCCTGATGGGAACTGTAGTCCAGCCACCTCTGGAGGGCGTCAGATGGGGATTCTTTTAAGGACCCATCACCCCAATGTGACAGAAGAGAAGCTTCAGCTCCAGAAGTTGGACTCCGTCCTGGAAGATGCAAAACCAAATCAAGACGAGCATACGCAGAGTGCTTCCCTTTCTCCTTCACTTCTCAGAAGTCAACTTCTGCCTTCCGAAATAATTTTTCAGCTCAGCTTTCAAGGGAAAATACCTTTCCCAGAGTGTTTGCACTTATTAAAATTGAATATAATGCTGCATCAGTGGGGGAAGGGGGAAATACAGGCCCTTCCCTCAGTCTGACAAATTGAGTAACAAGGTAGAAAGGTTAAATGAAATGGTTTTAATAAGAAAATGGTTTTTAAAACCAACTAAAGTCCTCCAAATCATCTTAAGTAAACCAAAAGCCTAAGAAGAAAAAACAGGAGTCATCTACAACATATGGTGTAAGGACTGTAACAAGCACTCTGTAGGATAGACAGGCAGAAGGCTTGCAGAGCGCATCCATGAACACCAACTAGCAGTCAGAAGACACAATGAAAACTCCCTGGTCTCACCACATATGGACAGACTCAACCATACTTTCAACTGGGAAACTCTGAGCATCCTAGACCAAGCTAAATCCAAAAATGCTAGGGCTGGAAGCTTGGCATTCAAAAGAATCAGCCATCAATATACACATAGCGATAAACCACATTTACACACCATTCAAAAGAGACAATAAAAAAAGCTATGAAGGAAACAAATAGACCAGAACACATCCTCTCCAGCAGCCAACACCAAACAATCAAGCAGAAAACAATACCCTTATCAAGGAACTACCAAGGAGAAAAGCACACCTCCACCAACATTAGCAGGGCAAGCTACTGTATATAAACAGGGAGCAAACCCCACACTCACTAGACTGATGATGTTACCTAGTTGGGTAATGTCTCCAAGCAAACAACCAAGCTCAGAAAGCACCAAGGATTCCACAGAAATGGTTTTAAAAAGTAGAGGGAAAGGGAAAAATCAGCTGACAAAGCCAGAATCAAGAGGTGAATTGTTTGGAGATATTTATACATTTATTACATTTTTACCACAGTTTTCCTCCAAGAGGCTTAGTACAGTTGAAAAGTATTTTGCCACTTTATCCTCATAGTAAATCTAACATAAATTGTTGGTTTGAATGCTGTAGGTAACTTCTGAAAGGTTTAATATAGCAGAATGCAACTGCCCTGATCAGTCTGAGAAAAAGATCAGAAAGATGAGCTAAATCCAAGAGCATCATCAGTGATGAAGCAGAAGAAAATTCAGACCTGCAGGAAACTGAATGGTGAAGGCCAGAGGTTCCTGAAGCTGGAATGTATCTGATCTCTCAGGAACTGATTCTCTCTGGAGCACGGAGGAGCATCTTCTGGCCCTCTAAATATCGTTGAACTCTCAACTTCCAGCAACTTTCGTTGGCATGGCCAATGGTGAGGAGTAATGGTTACTGCAGTTTAACAAATCTGGAGGGCCACACATTTCTCACCCCTGTTCAGAAGGAGAGACAAAGAGAAGATCCTGGATAAACTAGAACTGCATCCAAGGGTTGGTGTTCAGTTAGACTTACATTAAGCTTTTTAATAGGCCTTGGATGATGATTATACCATACTTCCACACCTTAGTAAATTTTCAGTTTTTCAGAACCCTTTCTTAGAGAAGATATTTTTAAAAATTAAAGATTAAAGAATTGAGAAAAACAAGAAAAGTCTAAAATTCGGATCAGCAATGACTACAGTTTAAAAATTGTGTCACAATCCTGACTGTAGAATGAATGCAGTTGTCAATGCCAGTGTCACTGGTCATTTATGAAAAATAAAAAAGTGAAGATAACTTCAAACCCTATAAACGGCCAGAAATGTGATTTGTGGATTTCTGAATGCCACTCCTCCCAATACAGACATACTTTTTACATAGGCTAAGGTGAATCTGGAAATATTGACCCTCTTCAAACTGAACAATGGTTAGAATCATAGAGTTCGAAGGGACCTAAGAGGTCATCAAGTCCACCCCCTGCACACTGCAGGATTCACTACACCATCCCCAATAGATGACTATTCAGCTGCATTAGAAATCTGCCACTCAGAGTAGACAATGTTCGGCTTGGTAGAAAAGTCAAGGTTCATCAAAACATGGTTTGAACATGAACAAACCACAATTGATGGGTTCACACGATATGTTATGCTGTAAACCATGATTTACCAAACACAGTGGCTGGGTTCAGGCAACATGCTGTCAAAACCAGGCAAACCAATTATTATTTAGTGTCATAAGTCTGGATAAAGAAGTTTCTTGTGTTCATAAACTGCAGAATATTCGTCAAGGCAGCCAAGCATTCAACAGAGTCTCCTGTGAGAGAAGATGACAAAAAGTAGGCTCAGCTATGTTGCCATTCTATGGATATAAAACTGGTTGAATATCTGTATTCAATTAGTATATATCAATGGCTTCACATTAAATTGAAGAGAAGAGTGCAGGGCTCTCTTTTAGGCACTGGTGTCACTCAAGATATTAAATATTACTTGGAGGAGGGTGCAGAAAATAGCAGATTTGTGGATGATCCAAAGATGGGGAGTAGCAAATACTTTCCAGGACAGCCTCAGGGTGCAAGACCATCTTGACAACCTGGAAGAATGGGCAGAAACTAACTAGATGAATGTCAACAGAGGCAAATACAACCTTTTTTTAAAAAATTTGGGCAGGAAAAACCAAAGGCATGAGTATAGGAATGTGTGGAGGGCACCGTATTGAGAACAGTTTTTTTTTAATCTGCATACAGTATATCAAAAAGGATCTAGGTGGTTTTGGTGGATCACATGGTGAACCTGAACTGACAATGTGATGCAGCTACAAAAAAGCAAGTGCAATCCTAGCTCCATTAACAGAAGTATTGTACCAAGGTCAGAGAAGTCACTGACCCTATTCTGCATTGGGTCAGACCACACCTAGAAATATTGCATCCAGTTCTGGGCATCCCATTTTAGGAAGACCTTTATCAAACTGGAGCATGTTCAGAGGACAGCAATGAAGCTGATAAAGAGGCTGAAATGAAAACTGAGGAATGGTTGGAATCAGAGGGACATAGAGCCCGGAGAGGACTGTGAGGAGACATAATAGCTGATGCCAAGTATCTGAAGGGCTATCTTGAAGTCTTCAAAACTAACAGAATCATTCAGAGTGGCTCCAGAAGACAGAAGAAGAAACAAGGGGGTTACATTACAGTGTCAGCCTCGCCAGGTAGACCAGACCAGACCAGAAGATGAACTTCACAGGAAGGCTAAAACTACTTTTACTGAGATTGGTTATAGCAGAATCTTGCAAGTCTGATTGTGCTGGGCTTCCTCCTCCTTACAGTTCAGCGAATTAAGGAGGTGTCTGCCCAAGCCACTTCTGAATGTTCCGGTCTTCTGGACTGAAAAAATATTTCATCTCCTTTTGCCTAGGTAACGGTTGCTGCATATTCCCATCAAGGTCATCTTCCTTACCCTTTACAATAAGGAAGTACAATTTGGTTGAGCCTCAGGAAAAATCTCCTAACTGCACGAGCTGTTCAGCAGTGGAACGGTGCCAAAGGGTTGAGGAATTAGCAACTAGCTGTGAATTCTGGAATGTGAAGTCCAAAATATTAAAATGAGGCTGGCTTACAACATCTCCAGTACATTGGAGAACGTGGGTTTCTAGCAGGGTTTCTCAACCGTGGCAACTTGAAGACGTGGCTGGCTGGGAAATTCTGGGAGATGAAGTCCACACGTCTTCAAGCTGCCAAGGTTGAGAAACCCTGGTTTGTAGCATCCCTGGCGTGGCTAATTGCCCGCAGTGGACCAGCCTGTTAAGAGGGTGAGAACATACTGCAATATTTTGCTGCAGTTCCAAACTGTATTTCGTTGCACAAGTGTATTAACTGAAGCTAACCGGAATGCTAGAACAAATGTAATAACATTACATTCCTAAGGATTCGTTTTAGTAAAATCAGCAAGAGCATTAAAGAGCCCGTTGCGATTGAACTAATCCCGACTGGGTTCTGAAAGGTTCATACTGGAGTAGAATACTCATAATCATAATCAATTTATCCCTCTCTCCTGTGGAGCTGAGGCTACGCACCATTCAGCAAGAGTCCTTGCTGAAAATTAACAAAAGTATGGCCGTAACTAATACGCAGATTCCAGGTTTTAATAACTGCTCACATTCGGGACGTGTGCTGTTGCTG